ACTGAAATCATGAGGTTTGAAATAGGCTGCTGTATAATAATAATAATAATAGAGAACATAATAGAGAACAACCAACAGCTGGTGAAGTTCGGCTGAGTTTGAACTGGTTTAGAAAGACGATTTCTGAGAGCATCCGAATCTCGATCGCCTTTGAATTCCTAATTCATTAGGACACTTTTCTATATATATATCTAAAAGTGTGACTATTTTGAAATAATATTCTGTATCAGACACATTCAGATTCTGCGGTATTTCTTATCCCATATCAGAGAGAAGTAGTCAGAATTCCTTTCCTGCGGATAAGGTACATCATTAAGTGCAGTCAGACACACATCAGCGGAAAGTGTGTTTACATCCATTACTCCATTTGCGGTAGCTTGTAGTAGAAAGCAGACATTCGTGTATTTTGGGAGTCTACTGACAGTCAACAGATTGCTCGTTCATATACATATTAGAAACTCAAACTTCCGATTTCATACCGCAATCACTGAAAGAATTTCAAAAATTTGAATCAGTGCTTGTTTCTCACTGACATCAATTTGTTGATTCAGAACCCAGCTCGACAATCTGTTGACAGAAGGATACAACTCAAAGACCTAAAGCAAAATGATGATATCATCGTGACAGCCTTGTACGAGATTGCGGCACTGCGTTGAAACATCCTTAAAAAATATTCGAGAAATTCCCGGCGATTATTTAGATGAAAAGAAAGTGACCAAAACAGAGGGTGAACTAAACACGACGGATCTTTTCGAAAGCCGACTGATATTTGGCTTAAAAAAACATAATTAATAAAGTTATAATAGCCTCTGGATTAAATAAACGCAGCATGTAATATTTTTTGAATTTCTTGGACTTATTCTCTCTTCTGATCTCTCCTGGTCTTCCCATGTCTTAGCAATTTCCAGTAAAATACTCCGCCTGACATTTTACATTAAGAAGTTAAGACATTCGGGTATTACTCAACCCCTCACTCCTTTTACAGTTCATAAACTCTTGCATCCTACCTATTCTTCTTTATTGTTCACCCTTGCTTATTCTTTCCTGGTTTGCTTTGAAAAGACAATGTCACAATTCGTAGAATGCTGAAGACTGTCAGTAAGGTGAATGGTGTCTCAGTGGACCACATAATTACCGTCGTTGTCGATAAGCACTTGACTTCGTGCAATAAATTTGCTATAAAGGGATTTTGTCTGACTTGGAGCATCCGCTTTACCCTCAGCTTTCACCTTGCATCCCGTCCTCAGGTAGAACAAGGAGCAACTTCAGAAAACTGTATGCTCGCACGTCTAAGTATAAAAATTCTATGATACCATACGTATTTTATGTGAGGAAAATGGTGTCAGCCAAGAACTAACAAACCTTTTTCATCTAGTAAATAAACAATTTCCCCCATCCATCCTTATATACCTTCAAGTTTCACTTTTATTATTTCTGTTATATTTATGGTCCTGTTGCTTCTTTGTTTTACTCTTATAATTGCAAACAACAGTTTATCTCTATGACTGCTGTAATCTTTGTTTTTCCCCTCACCATATTATGTAAAGAGCACATTATATTCAATATTTTTAAACATGATAGGATTTCTTTACCGCATATAACGACAATACTGTGTGAAACAAGCCCCGGCAATTTTCACTTGTATTATTATTATTACCCTAGCTGTTATCATTATTACTGTTATTTCCATTTTATATGCAACATGTTTTTGACACCACCTTTATTGTAAATATGGAGGGTTTTCTGTGTGAATAATTTTATTTATAATTTGAGGATATTAGATGCAATATTGTGATTAATGCTGACAATTCCATTCTGTATCACAAGTACTGTTTTTGGAATAAAGTAAATCATTATTATTATACCTTATTGCCCTTATCAATACTCCAAGGCTTGATAGACGAATTAACAGCAACATGTTTTGTAATATCAGTTTCTTGAGAGTATGCAATCACAGAAATGGGAATCAGAAAGAGTGATACCAGAATTCATTCAAGAATATATTCTTGCTTCCTAAATTCATGCGTTTGTCTTCATACTACTAAGCAGCTGTGAACAAGTAGATGATAAAGCTTCCAAAGATTTTAATTCACTCCTTGTGAGAAAAACTCGAAATAGTCTTGTATATATCAAAAAACGTCACTGTTTTTCACTTCAAATGACAGGGTGGGTTAGGGCTTGATCAGCTGAGTGCCTTTTGAGATTTGTGGCGTACAAGGATGAGCCAAGCAAAGAGAAGAGACTACACAATTGTGTATTCCCACGGAACAGGAATTATTCAGTGACCCACATTTCACACAGCTATTAGTTGTTGGATCAACATTATCCCACTGATTCAGTGTTCGAGGTACTTACTTATGTGGCAACATATTAATTATCAATAAATGTCTCAGATCAATATGTGCTGTGTCAAACATTGTATCAGATATTGAGTGGAAGACAGAGCATGCTATAAATGGCAGGCCGCATAATACGTTGATTGTGGTTGTTGTGGATGTCTGTGACAGAGAAGAAGGCTGCGATTTGCCAGAATGTAACTGATGACGAGCTACCGAAAATGGTGTTGAAATATTCTGTCTGATATTGGAAATGGTACGACGTCTTTGAAGTGCTGAATGTGATAACTCATTTGGTAAGTTTTCGTTGCTAATGACCTCAGGTCACACAACTGCTGGCTCCTTGAGCTCAGAAATAACAGTTACGAGCTCCTGGCGGTGGCAGTGATTTCACTGACAAATAATCGAGTGCCAATAAAAAAGCCTTCTGGAGAAAGAAATCTCAGCAACCGATCTGTTATAAGTTTCACAAATGTTACTGCCTTTAGTCAGCTTTGGCTGTATATTTCGACTGCTTCCGTGAAGTTGAAGCATATAGTCAGTCATTTGTATCTTTCAAAGACTACCTTTCAACTATGTCAAACAACACCACAATTCGCTCCTGTCAATAGCTGTCTTCTCCAACCGTTAGACACTTCTCACTGATTTCTACGTCTTCGAAAGCAAACTACAGCATCTTTAGCCCTTATGTCTTATTATGGTGAACAATTAGACTCGAATTTTTGAAGCTTTCTTCAAATCACCCACCCAGAAATATACCAGTAGGAACACAAAACCTACAACATTACTGAAGAAAACGAAAGGATATACAGTCATATCGTCGGAGGCATATCAAGAAACCAAGCTATGCAGTTTGGGTATACCAAGACTATGTAGATTACTCAATGTACACTGAAACAACGTGATATGACAAGGAATAGTCTTATTGATAGATTTGATTTGATTCTAGTGTTTTCGAAAGACAAATGCTTTCTCTAGATGCTAATTCTCTGTTCACAAGCATCGCTCTAACTGAGAAAATATGCTCTATTTGTCACTTCATCGAAAACAACGACCTGAAAGTTCGTGTTCTCACCAATCACATGACGAAAATAATTCTCAGATGTAAATTTGGTAATCCAATTCGAAGTCAGTAAACAACTCTACAGAGGGAGAGAGGGAATATGGTAAAAACGTCTTCTGTCGGTGCAATCCTGGTTAACTGCTTCACTGTGAGTCAAAATAATATCACTGCTACTTATAAGACCAAACAACTGCACTTCTACAATGGGTTAGGAATATGCTAACTTTGTGATTTGCGATGGAAGTTCGCATCGAGATTATCTATCCAAAACTTTTAAAGCGGGACACCCTGCAATAGCCTTAACCTTAGAACCTGAATCGAACATGTTGTTTCCATTACTGAATATACCATTCACCAGAAGACAAGAACTCTCGATCGAAAGATCATTACATCGCAAATGAACTTGTAGTGGACAGTTTATTGATTTTCAGGGCTTCTTCCACTGATGCAGATGCAAGACTTAGTACGTATCCTATGATCCTGAGTTTGGAGAATGTATCGAAATGTCACAATTTAGAATGAACAAGAGTCACCTCGTAACATGCTACTGGAAAACTGACTTCCTACCGGATTAACTGTCAAAGCAATGAAAGAAAATCCTCCGTCACTGAAAAACTGCAACTGTACATAAGAAAACCCTCTACATGAACCTAGAATGTAGAAATGATATCAAAGCAGTAAATATTAGAAACCGTCATTCTATGTGCTAGAAGAAGAAACGTCTCCAGGGGACAGTTAATCCAGTCAGGTGTGAAGGATAATATGTCACTTTTGAACTCATCAGTGTGCATCTATTAGTTTACTTGTTACTATGGAGTAAAGCAAATTGACCGCACTTAGCGCCAGACGTAAGATCGTATTCTGGAACACCCTTCAGGTTGACTAGCTGGAGGGGAGAAGAAGAATATCGGTGAACCTACCCTCGCCTACCTTGCGATATCTGGACATCAAGCATAACAGCATGACGTCTGTACAGTTCCACACAGAGTTCCTCGGGTTTACACATAAGGTACGCTAATATGGCGTCGGTACATAGCCGAATCATTAGCTATTCGGGGTCTGAAACGAGGCCTCAATGTTCGGAACCACTACATACCTCTGCTAGTCCTACCATGGCCGGAGTAATTTACTTGCCAGAGTTCTGCTACATTTCGTTGCCTGAGCTCAATATTTTTATACATATTATCCTTATTTTATTATCACTCGATTACTGCTTGTTGATAACATTTCATTGTTATACAGATTTTATCGAGACGCTCAACCGTCCTACCACTTGTTTTGTCCATTCCGGACATTTATTGTGAGTGGCCATTTCACAATTATTACATACATCATTTGATACACCTTTTTGAACAAATTCTATGATTTATATTTATTCTCCTGATTTGCCTCAAATGTACATGTTGATTTCGTGCAGCCTGGTATCAATCAACCGTGTCACTCAACTTTCAGCTGTCATTTTACGAGCTAAGATACTCGCGATAATACCCTGCTTCATGCGATTGTTATTCAGTGTACGTGATTCCATGTCTCATGCAATTTGAGTTTAAAAACATTATCTTTAATTGTCGTTGGAATCACTCTATTGAGAACAAGTTATTACCGGATCAAGATATGTATTTAAGAAAGTTTATAATTGAGAAAAATGGAAATGTTATTAGAAATTGTGTAATAATATTGTTACGATACTGTGAAATCACATTGAATAATCATTATGTTGTTACACATCTCTACCGAATGCTTCAGCAAGCTTCATATTCAGCCTTTCAAAGGAAACGGAAAGAATAAGAGGGATAGAGAGAGCAGTGTGCAAACAGGAAGTGGATTAGTTAAGAATTATGTTTGTGAATGTAATGGAGAGTCGTAGTGAAGTCAAAAGTAGTTCAGACACATTCACAAATGACATATGAAACTTCAGCCACACTTCAGAGAATATTCAGCAATCTCGTAGTGCTCTTGTTGTGAAATTTGTCAGACCATTGGCAGGAGGTATTCAAACTGAGTAGTCCATTGAAATTTCTACAAACTGATATAATGCATCAGTTAACCGCTATGCCATTCTGATATCGATCACACTAAGAGGTGACAATTGTCACCAGTGAAACCTATAGCAATTACAAATTTCCGGAGGTGTTCGCAGTGACTCAGTACTCAATCACAGAATCCATTATTCACAACGCTTTGAAAGTGTTTCAAAGTTCAATTTAACTGCTTATCAGTCTAGTCATACTATGCTGATGAAATATGAAATCAGTATTCCTGCCCTTATGAATTATCTCCATTGAGCGTCAGTGCTTATAGTTCAGTTTATACCTATTTATTGATTTATAGGCTTGATAAACCCATGAACAGAATACACAGCGTCAGATTCATCCTACTGTCCAGGTTAAAGTACAAACTTTAATTTATCATATCAATGAGTGTATTGAAATGCCTATAACTGTTAAAGCTTTCGGATTTCCAGTTCAGAGCAACACAGTCACTCATAGCAAATACACTGTTTCCGTCATTCGCCAGAGAAATTCTCCCTATCCAGAGCCATATCACTCCTGTTGAATTTCATCATTTAATGAGACTGTTGATAGAAAATATGATTCACAATTTCAGCATTGTTGACATTCTGGAATGTTCGTCACAGAAATAAGTGATACACATTTGTGTGGATTAAGATAAGTGAGAAAGGCTCTGTTCTCTATCAGGCAGCATAGACGATTAATAGTCGATCAATTCTAATCAAGCATGCAGATTGTTCCCTTTATTTTCTCACCTTTAATCCGGAGGCGATTTTCTCATATATGGATTTAAGCCCTGTAATTGAAAGTAAGAGACAAGCTGCGATGAAATTTTTTCACGTGTGATACATTAAACCATGTATCCTGTGTGTTTCTCCAAAATGACACTATATCACGTTGATAAGCGGTAATATGGCATCGCAATCTCAAATATCTGCAGTGGCTTTTCACACACTAACAATTAATGACAAGATTATTCGTTGAATACGCCATTATCATTGTGCTGAATGTCACAAGGGTAACAACCATTCGTATTCTACGAACTAAATGAAAGCAAGGTTTCGAAGCAAATATGCTGGTGAAGACGTTGTTTCTGAATCACCATAAAGTAATATAACTTCCACAGGGAATTAGCCTACCTGACTTTATCTGGAGAGATGACGCTGCAGCATACTTCTGAGGTATCAATAGGTTCAGGTTTGTAATATCTGAAAGGAATGAAGTTTGATTTGAAAACACAGGAGAAAATTTGAAGTGTTGATGAAATTGCAAGGCGAATATAACACAGCCTGATAATCGGAAAGTCGTCTTTTGACTCACTGAAGGATGCGATCAGAAGGTTTTATTCACAAACTTCATAGCATCTGAATTTGTCTGTTTATCGCTTAGATAGAAATGTGCTTCTATATCTTTTCTATTCAAAGACTTTATTACTTAGAGTTTATTCCATCAGTCAAGTATCTTTCAGTGAATTATATATATTAGGCATCTTTTAAACTTCATTGGAATTCCTTCCTATCCTCCTATCTCTGGTTGTTGGGTTACAGAGATCTGAATTTCAGAAATCGTGAGGACTCCTCGATGTTGCTCACATGCGACACTTTATCACACTTCGCTATTCTGTTCTTCTTAACTGCTAGAAATCCTGCGAGAGGGTTATATACAATGACTTCCATTCACATGCTAATCTGCAGCCATAAGTCAGTAAGTAGATCAACACAGTGACAGTATTGTGAATATGCTTATTGATCCACTTGATTTAATACAAAGGGATGTATGAGCGTATAATTATAAATCCGTCAATTCTACACAGTTGCTATTTTCGCCATGAATAACCTGGGAAATACAAAATTCGCATGAATTCAATGCAACATGAAATAAGAATAACTGCTGATTAGGAGATACCGCGGATGTCTGCAGGAGGCATATGGACTTTACAGCCAGGATATGCAGGACCATACCGATTTTCTGTAAATATTTGAAAGAAAGAGAGAAACAAACAAATTTTTGATCATTCAGCGGATTCAAATCTGTGTACTTGAAGGTATACCGGAAGTGTTCACCAGTGGAATTCAACTTACTTTGCACGTTGTCTGAAATTTTTGAAATGTGGAGACAAATTGTTTAGATATATTTGAGTGCTGCATGCGACACAACATCACAAACCTCTTTAAAATTTCACATGAATGGGTGAGTGCTGCAGCACTGTTACACACAGGGCATTCACATTATTACTTGTCTGTGATATACACGCTATATCCACTGTGAATTTTAATTGTTGATCGACTGTTGATCGACAGCCTCATGAACAGGCAACTGCTGTGTAGAGAATGTTGGTGTCATTAGTTTCTGAAGTTTTCATGACACTTCAGAGGGTAAGGCATCTGTATTTGCTGTATCTAACAGGATTGTGTCAAATGTAAGCTGACTGAGTGCCACCAAACACCTGAATCAGTAACCATGACCTAATAATGTGGAGGAGTCGTTAATTTGAAAATGGTAAGACGAGAGCATCATTCATACTGAAAATTCGCATTAACAATAAAGAAAATGAAACGGTTACCTGCATATAATTGAGAAAATTCTGTGTACTGAAGCAGTAACTTATTGAAATCGGGGATGAATTTGTCTACAAATAACAAGTAGACGAATGTGAAAAGAACTAGGAGTGAAAATTAGCAATGAAATCTGACACATGGCCAGCCGATGATTTCCAACACACTGGTGTACCTGACTACTTCTTTTTCACCGGATAAATGCATGACTCAGCTAATAACGACTTACAGGATTTCATCATGAGCTGACATTAGTTAGAGAACCATTGGAAAACCTGCAGGGAGTACTGGACAGCTGCTTCGTCCTAGTTTAGGACTCTTCATCAGTAAATACCCACCGGGGTTCGAACCCAGGACCTTCCGGTTACAAGGCAAGCTCGTATACCACTGAGCCACTGGGACCCGATCTAATGGTCCTAGAATTCTAACTTCTGCCAATTCACGACATAGTGTGACCGCTAGCCAATGTCTTCCGTGGTGAGTATTTGTCCTCACACCCAACCCGCTGCAACCTACTGGTCAAATCCCTACAAACCAACACTTGAATAATAACGACTTATTTGTGATCGCGATTTACAAAACATTCTGAGTTTGTTACAGATTTGATTTTCAAAAGCGTTATACTCAATTTTGTTGTGAGTGAGAAAGAAAGTGATGTCGACTTCACTGACTTTCGAGCGTTCAGTGCTAGTAGCTTCAGCAGGGTTAAAGTGAACAGGTATCCACACAATTTCGTCTCATTTGTGTAAACCGATGATGTTTCTATTGTTTAAGGTGATTTTGAATGGATATCGTAGTAGTCACAAGAATGTTCAGACATTGTTATTTTATAACTGTACGGGATATGAAATTTGCAGTCATTTATATTGGGTTGAATGTTTATCACATTAGAAATTACAATGTTATTTGGTAGGAGGCTGTTGGATCAATGTAAAATTCTGACACAATCCGTCGTTTTGACGCAGGTGATTTGGGGCCCATTTTGTGAGACATTCTTACGTTACAAGAAGTAAATTGGGATTTAAGGCTATTCTTTTACAAACGATTCCAATCTTTCAGTCTGGGTCGACAGTGTGGAAAGCTTCGACAGAACATGTTGCGAACTATTCCAATAATACCAGGTATCGCAAGAGTTGAACAAATGCTCCCTTCGATTTGGCTTTCTTCTGACTTTGATTCCTCCAGCAGACTCCTTAATGTATACGGAATCACTATCTTCAGCTGTCTGTCATCTTCGCTACCCGATTCAGCTGATAACTGGGTAGTGTCTTATGTGGCAAGAGTGAGATCAAGTGCCCAGTTATCATGTGAGAGTTTGTCTAACCCGCATTATTATCACTCTCATTAAGCTATAAGTACTCAATAGCGAAACACAAGCGAAATTAGCGTTACCCTGTTTCTCATTCATTACTGAGCGCATAATTGTTTGTATGATGATGAGCGTCATATTACCTCCCGCTCAAATCTTTTCGAACGAAATAGTCTGAACTTACTCGGAACTTAAATACTATCAGTGAATAAAACAACAGAATGAATTCTCACCATGAACGTCTTTCACTGCCAGCATCTCAGGTATGAAGGCTGAAACGTGAGTGTATAGAATATAATTAAACAACTGGAAAGGGAATAAACTGGGTAATATACGATTTGAGCATCAAAATGATGACTGGCAAACATAAAGAGACCAAAACGATTTTGTTTCTGCCTCAGTGCCACGCACTGTTTGGACATACGCAATGGAGTATGTAATAATGACTAGTTGACAAGACAGTCTGAACAAGCTCTTTAGGTGCATTTGGCTTTGTGGAACAAACAACGATTCTCTATGTGAGTTCGGCTCATGATCAATTCCTTGAGGCAATCAAATTCAAAGAAACTACCTCCCGGTAATTATTGTGAGACTTAATATTTATTGGCACTGCACATGAAGGTACCTAGATTTCTAATGAGAATACGTAACAATAACATAGTCCGCTTAGTAAGTCAAGTGATTGGTTACCCACCTATGACATTGTCTAGCAGTTCCGCTACACCATCACGGATTGAAGGTGATTAAGAATTCAATGATCGTTGGTTCTGGTACCAGTTAATGAATGGTGAACAATCTCTCCTTGTTCTGCTGCACAAGTCACATACCAGTACGAACAGCTGTTCAGTACTCCTCGAATGGTTCCCAGTGGTTTTGTAACCAATATCAGTTGGTGATCAAATTTGTGACCAACAATAAACTTTGTTACTTTTCATTTTCAACTACGAGACCGTGTATGGCTTTTGTCAGCACGTGTGTCTATAAATTCAATGGATCAATGAGTCCACTTTCTCAGTCACTCACAGATAAATTGTAATAAAGTGTGAAATTCACAGGACAAAATTCACAAACCCATGTAGACATCTGGTCGATAGTATTCTTCATAATTACTACTCTGGCATAATACATCTAGAAGATCAAATCTTTCGTTAGGGAAAACATGATTCACATACATGCATTTATCATTTCAGTTTGATTCGGCGACTTCGCTTTCATATCATCTAGATTGGAAGAAAATAGTTATGCAAACTGAGCATCACTCACAATATCATGGAGTGATTAACATGTGTCAGGCCTCATGATAACTATTTGAGTGCTAAATGTTAAGCTGTGTAGTTTTAGGCTTGAATAGAGTAATCAAAGTAGACCCTCTAAGACTTCACATGACTGTAGCTGAAGAATAACAGACTGAAACAGAGTAGCTACTTTTTGCCTCCCGACAGTTCTCCAATTATTACCTGACTCTTGCTCAATCGACAAACCAGGTGAGGTTATCAACTGATATCTGATAAGATCTTGACTAAATTTTGATGTATTGAAATACATCCATGTATTATAAGTGAACAATATAGAATAGCGTGTTTTAGTGGATTTCGATTGCATGTGGGGAGACGTGACCTTTACTCTTTCAGTAAAGTCAATCAGGTGTAGTACTTAAAGCAGCTGATTCAAGACATCCTGTGAGTTGGATTTCGTTAAGACCACGGTATGTTCACGTTCGGTTGACATTCACAGATGCAGTAATCAAGATTCTGTTTCTGATTCGAATAATTGTGATGCACATATGAAGTTAACTCATTTTTCTACTTTTGTGAAGTTTCTTAGGCGACAGGCTATCGATACCAGCAAATAATTGCAAATCAGATACTAACTATTAACAGTGAGTTTTGTTCATCAGTGAGCAAAACGTAATAGAGAGTGATACAACTTTCTGTTTGTTGACAGACGGTAAAGGCATTAGGGATAAGGTGGGCTACAGTATTTCAAAGAAGAAGGATAAGATTCATCTAACCTTGCAATGTCTTCAAAATTCCATCTAAATCGCTTTTTTTCTCTGTATATTTTCGAGTAGAATCTGAGAATAAAAGAAACTTATATATTAGTGAGATTTGAGCATTTCGTTGGAGCATGAAATATGAATGTAGAATTTCATTTAGTGTAAAATAAGCATTTCCGTCATATTAGTTTGTGAAAAACAGTAAACGTAACACAGCGTCAGCAGTCAGATCGAACTCGTCAATCGCTATGACGTTGTGGATCTCGTTTTAGGGCGAAGTGGTATTCACAGGTAGATCTGTGAGTCGGTTTTCAATTATATAAGACTTGCTATCCTAAGGGAAGTCTAAAAGTCTAAAAATCCTAACATGAAGCAAAGTTCACTGAATTCTAACAAGATCAGGAGGCGGGGGGTGTAGATGTTTCATCTGACGCCCAGAAGTTAACCGGATAAAAGAAACACCATCATGGCTGAGTCTGCAGAGGTGTGAAGTTGTGTGTGTTCCACTTAAAATGTATGGATTGAAACAAACAACGGAGTGATGGAATTTTGTAAACGTGTCTGTCTATAATTGTGTGCAGTGATTTCATAAAGTGAATGGTACTCTCTTCATTAAAGAGGACCTGTTGCACGAGAGAGAGAGTCAGTAAATAGATTTGCAATCATTTGAAACATTTCAACATGAGAATCATATAACAAAGTGAGGCGTAATAAACAGAACTACCTTCATAGAAACTAACAACCTCATTGAAATTGTCAAGATTTTGTTTGAGTTTTTCCATATCTGAAAATGTGTAGGAGGCGAACAAAACCACAGATGAGTTGACGAATGAAAACAGAAACCTGCGTAGGAATGAATTCAGTCAGTGTGAGTGAGCTCTGTTCCCAGGCTTTATTGTCTTCAAATCTACTGTATTCAAATGCTACATTCATACTATTTATAAACAGACATACTGATGGAATTGAATTAGATCCTGTCACAGGATTGACAGTTATTTGAAGCGTTCACCGATGAAAATGATTCATTTAGTTATCAGAAGGTCTCAACTTACATTTCTTATCTGCACAAGTTGTCTTCTTAGCAGCTAATCCCTCTGTGTGATAGAAAAGTAGAAATACAATATATAAATCATTCGAATTGAGCTGAGCTACAGAATGAGTTTTACTCAAAAATAAACTGATGATGACCAGTTGAAGTGGTGCATAACAATGTGTGTAGACAATTGCTTAAAATGTGATACTAATATTGACGTTGAATCCACTGTGTATTATATTACTCATTTTCACTGTTAATTGTTCGACATTCTACAATTTTCTGTTTATGTCACTCACCCGTATTTTGTTTAAATAAAATAATTTTTCCTTCACGTTCCCAGTGGAACATAGGGCTTCAAGCTAGTGGCTTGAAGTTTCTGTAGCAGTGTTTAATTTTTACAGGGTGGGGTTGCTAGCCTCATGCCCAACCTTTCCTCTTTACCAGCATTATTTCTGGCTCAGTGAGGTAAAGGAGTGCGCCGACCGAGGGTCGAACCCCGGACCATATGCATGGTCGGCGAGCGTCCTAACCGCTATACCACCGACGCACCGTATTTTGTTTATTGCTTCCATAATTTATTTTCATTCATAATTGTGATTTAAATTCACTGAGCTGACTTAAATCTCATGAGTACACCATCGTAACCATCGAAGTTAGCTTATAAGACCTTTCACTGTCTGCTGAATTTCCGCCTAAATTTCTCTTTCCTACATCACAAAGCATATAAATAGATAATGACTTCAGTTATACATATGCATATATTTATATTATTCCCTAAATTGTAAAATTTTCCCTTCTATCACTGAGATTCTTCAATGTCCATAGTAATTTTAAGCAGTATGCAGCTGGTGACATTGTGTGGAATAAAATGAAAATGCCGAAAACTAAGTCATTTTCACTTTGGTGAAGGAAATTCTGCGTGTCTTTTATTTCACTCAAGGTGACAATATTTCTCAGGATAAGATGAGGTCGCTGAATGTTCCCCTACTCTTCTTTATTTCTTCTAAATTTACAGTAATCTGCATGTTTTCAATTCAATCAGTGTACTATGATTCCTGTGAATCATCAACTTTAAAAATGAACTATCCCATTTCCTATGTCTTGTTGTCTTCTTTGGAAATCTTCAACAGCTTTTGTTAAGGTATTGCCAATAACACTATCGAGTGGTCATCATTACCGTGACATGAAATAAGTATCAACAAGTCATTTTTGAAAAAGAAAAACGGAGAAATGTTAGGATTTACCTTTCATGACGAATACGCATAGCAGCAGAATGGCGACGACTCTAGTAGAAGACATTGATAGAAGCATAGCGATTGTGTGAAAAACCATAATTCGCATTTGCATTTATACTGGAGAAGACCTCTTCACATATATCTGTGCTAATGCATTATTGGTTTATGAAATTTAGTGACGGCACAGGTGTTGTCTCTGTGACACACCATTACGTATTATTTCTCGATGTCGGCCAACCATAGAAAGGATAGATTTGATGTCTGACACACACGTAATAGTTAGACAGACCATAAATTCAAAGTAAAATTGATGTCTAGATTCACACTGCCAGTTTTGCTCCGAGCCTCTAAATGGAAGACAGGTATTCGCCAGTACACTCACATCGTATCCTATACTCTGCAGTCTTTATTAGCTGGCGTTATGACTGTCAGTAAACCCTTATTTTGTGCGTCGTTGGTACAGTGGTTAGGACTCTCGCCGACCATACACATGGTCCGAGGTTCGAGCCCACGCACACCTTGATATCTATGGTCGGCCTGCGAAATTTGGGCTACCAATATCCATGCTGAAAATTCCATACTTGTACCAAAAATACAGTGTGGAATCAAGCTGTAATCAAAAATAAAAATAAAATAAATAAATTTTCCCCTCATGCAGTCGCTTTTGTGTCATCATTCTCTAAGTGAAATTTAACTGGTTGTTTGTGAGTGGTACTATAGTCGACACACCGATGAATAACACCTGTCATTGGTCTTCTCAGTGTGTTACATCATATCCCCTGCACAAATCTTCGTGTGATGGGTTGTCAACTGGTGTAACACATATTGCCTTTCTGATTATTTATTTGAGTCAAATGAATATCAGTCCTGAAATGATACGAAGCGCATGACATTAGTGGAGAACACTATTAGTCAGTGCTTGGAAAATTCGTCCTCTTGATTGGATGACATTCCCATTAATTCGACAGTGGAGATTAGACAGATTATCGTATCCAGTATTTCAGTTCATCTGTCCACTGATTTCAGTATTATTATGCTCATGATAATGTCCACACGGTCATGTCAACTGTACATGAGATCATGTCGTTTGGTGACAGGCTGAAATAAGGAGAGCGAAAGCCATTGTTGAAGGCATGTAGCCTGTTGAATATACCTTACATTGTATATAAGCGGTGTCTCTGAACGCATAGAAGCTCTGCATCACCGAAATGTGCTCTAGCTGAGTTTAACAGGACTTCACACTAACTTCATTATAATAATCTGTCTTACATTTCCTCGAGATTATTCCAGTTGACACTGATCTGAGCCTGTTGTTGTCGTAGTTTTGGTATCCTCATGGAATTTCTCTCCACTAGTTACAACGTAAGCCATCTTTGCCCTCCTCTAATGAATACTTTTTGATAATTCTGTGCAGACATTCCACTTCTTGTAATCAACGCACATAAATCAAGCACGAAGAGCAAATCTCACAATGTCCTTCCGTAGACGTGGTGTATAACTGCATTATCGATTTCAAAATATGCTGCGTATCCCAGTTGACAGCAGTCATCCTTGAATATAGACAGCATTCTCTTAGTCATAAATTACCTTCAAAGACATCACCGAGGAATACGTTATAGAAAGTATGACAATTAAAATAATTGAATAGCCGTTGAATGATATAACAGAAAGCTAGTGAAAATTCGTAGTTCGGAGGCGTCTCAAAAAATACTTTTCGTCGAAATTACCAAAGAGCCTAATTTCGAAATATTGCAATATATTCTCGTAAAAAATTTATCAATTCCATGGATGAATTCAATGAAGTACACTCTTCTATGAAATTCACATTTAAAGAGGATTCCCAAAACAGAATCGTCTTCCTGGTTGTCCTCCTTGCAAGATAACCAGACATTAGAACTAAAAGCGATTTGCACACAAGAAGTGCATGGACAGGACAACATAGACATTCTCACAGCTTTGTTCCACTCCAATACAAACGAAATTTAGTAAAAACACTCAGCCATGGACAGTGTTAGAGCTATATGCTAGGAAAAATTTTACAATTTAGGGAATAATATAAATATATGCATATGTATAACTGAAGTCATTATCTATTTATATGCTTTGTGATGTAGGAAAGAGAAATTTAGGCGGAAATTCAGCAGACAGTGAAAGGTCTTATAAGCTAACTTCGATGGTTACGATGGGTGTACTCATGAGATTTAAGTCAGCTCAGTGAATTTAAATCACAATTATGAATGAAAATAAATTATGGAAGCAATAAACAAAATACGGTGCGTCGGTGGTATAGCGGTTAGGACGCTCGCCGACCATGCATATGGTCCGGGGTTCGACCCTCGGTCGGCGCACTCCTTTACCTCACTGAGCCAGAAATAATGCTGGTAAAGAGGAAAGGTTGGGCATGAGGCTAGCAACCCCACCCTGTAAAAATTAAACACTGCTACAGAAACTTCAAGCCACTAGCTTGAAGCCCTATGTTCCACTGGGAACGTGAAGGAAAAATTATTTTATTTAAACAAAATACGGGTGAGTGACACAAACAGAAAATTGTAGAATGTCGAACAATTAACAGTGAAAATGAGTAATATAATACACAGTGGATTCAACGTCAATATTAGTATCACATTTTAAGCAATTGTCTACACACATTGTTATGCACCACTTCAACTGGTCATCATCAGTTTATTTTTGAGTAAAACTCATTCTGTAGCTCAGCTCAATTCGAATGATTTATATATTGTATTTCTACTTTTCTATCACACAGAGGGATTAGCTGCTAAGAAGACAACTTGTGCAGATAAGAAATGTAAGTTGAGACCTTCTGATAACTAAATGAATCATTTTCATCGGTGAACGCTTCAAATAACTGTCAATCCTGTGACAGGATCTAATTCAATTCCATCAGTATGTCTGTTTATAAATAGTATGAATGTAGCATTTGAATACAGTAGATTTGAAGACAATAAAGCCTGGGAACAGAGCTCACTCACACTGACTGAATTCATTCCTACGCAGGTTTCTGTTTTCATTCGTCAACTCATCTGTGGTTTTGTTCGCCTCCTACACATTTTCAGATATGGAAAAACTCAAACAAAATCTTGACAATTTCAATGAGGTTGTTAGTTTCTATGAAGGTAGTTCTGTTTATTACGCCTCACTTTGTTATATGATTCTCATGTTGAAATGTTTCAAATGATTGCAAATCTATTTACTGACTCTCTCTCTCGTGCAACAGGTCCTCTTTAATGAAGAGAGTACCATTCACTTTATGAAATCACTGCACACAATTATAGACAGACACGTTTACAAAATTCCATCACTCCGTTGTTTGTTTCAATCCATACATTTTAAGTGGAACACACACAACTTCACACCTCTGCAGACTCAGCCATGATGGTGTTTCTTTTATCCGGTTAACTTCTGGGCGTCAGATGAAACATCTACACCCCCCGCCTCCTGATCTTGTTAGAATTCAGTGAACTTTGCTTCATGTTAGGATTTTTAGACTTTTAGACTTCCCTTAGGATAGCAAGTCTTATATAATTGAAAACCGACTCACAGATCTACCTGTGAATACCACTTCGCCCTAAAACGAGATCCACAACGTCATAGCGATTGACGAGTTCGATCTGACTGCTGACGCTATGTTACGTTTACTATTTTTCACAAACTAATATGACGGAAATGCTTATTTTACACTAAATGAAATTCTACATTCATATTTCATGCTCCAACGAAATGCTCAAATCTCACTAATATATAAGTTTCTTTTATTCTCAGATTCTACTCGAAAATATACAGAGAAAAAAAGCGATTTAGATGGAATTTTGAAGACATTGCAAGGTTAGATGAATCTTATCCTTCTTCTTTGAAATACTGTAGCCCACCTTATCCCTAATGCCTTTACCGTCTGTCAACAAACAGAAAGTTGTATCACTCTCTATTACGTTTTGCTCACTGATGAACAAAACTCACTGTTAATAGTTAGTATCTGATTTGCAATTATTTGCTGGTATCGATAGCCTGTCGCCTAAGAAACTTCACAAAAGTAGAAAAATGAGTTAACTTCATATGTGCATCACAATTATTCGAATCAGAAACAGAATCTTGATTACTGCATCTGTGAATGTCAACCGAACGTGAACATACCGTGGTCTTAACGAAATCCAACTCACAGGATGTCTTGAATCAGCTGCTTTAAGTACTACACCTGATTGACTTTACTGAAAGAGTAAAGGTCACGTCTCCCCACATGCAATCGAAATCCACTAAAACACGCTATTCTATATTGTTCACTTATAATACATGGATGTATTTCAATACATCAAAATTTAGTCAAGATCTTATCAGATATCAGTTGATAACCTCACCTGGTTTGTCGATTGAGCAAGAGTCAGGTAATAATTGGAGAACTGTCGGGAGGCAAAAAGTAGCTACTCTGTTTCAGTCTGTTATTCTTCAGCTACAGTCATGTGAAGTCTTAGAGGGTCTACTTTGATTACTCTATTCAAGCCTAAAACTACACAGCTTAACATTTAGCACTCAAATAGTTATCATGAGGCCTGACACATGTTAATCACTCCATGATATTGTGAGTGATGCTCAGTTTGCATAACTATTTTCTTCCAATCTAGATGATATGAAAGCGAAGTCGCCGAATCAAACTGAAATGATAAATGCATGTATGTGAATCATGTTTTCCCTAACGAAAGATTTGATCTTCTAGATGTATTATGCCAGAGTAGTAATTATGAAGAATACTATCGACCAGATGTCTACATGGGTTTGTGAATTTTGTCCTGTGAATTTCACACTTTATTACAATTTATCTGTGAGTGACTGAGAAAGTGGACTCATTGATCCATTGAATCTATAGACACACGTGCTGACAAAAGCCATACACGGTCTCGTAGTTGAAAATGAAAAGTAACAAAGTTTATTGTTGGTCACAAATTTGATCACCAACTGATATTGGTTAAAAAACCACTGGGAACCATTCGAGGAGTACTGAACAGCTGTTCGTACTGGTATGTGACTTGTGCAGCAGAACAAGGAGAGATTGTTCACCATTCATTAACTGGTACCAGAACCAACGATCATTGAATTCTTAATCACCTTCAATCCGTGATGGTGTAGCGGAACTGCTAGACAATGTCATAGGTGGGTAACCAATCACTTGACTTACTAAGCGGACTATGTTATTGTTACGTATTCTCATTAGAAATCTAGGTACCTTCATGTGCAGTGCCAATAAATATTAAGTCTCACAATAATTACCGGGAGGTAGTTTCTTTGAATTTGATTGCCTCAAGGAATTGATCATGAGCCGAACTCACATAGAGAATCGTTGTTTGTTCCACAAAGCCAAATGCACCTAAAGAGCTTGTTCAGACTGTCTTGTCAACTAGTCATTATTACATACTCCATTGCGTATGTCCAAACAGTGCGTGGCACTGAGGCAGAAACAAAATCGTTTTGGTCTCTTTATGTTTGCCAGTCATCATTTTGATGCTCAAATCGTATATTACCCAGTTTATTCCCTTTCCAGTTGTTTAATTATATTCTATACACTCACGTTTCAGCCTTCATACCTGAGATGCTGGCAGTGAAAGACGTTCATGGTGAGAATTCATTCTGTTGTTTTATTCACTGATAGTATTTAAGTTCCGAGTAAGTTCAGACTATTTCGTTCGAAAAGATTTGAGCGGGAGGTAATATGACGCTCATCATCATACAAACAATTATGCGCTCAGTAATGAATGAGAAACAGGGTAACGCTAATTTCGCTTGTGTTTCGCTATTGAGTACTTATAGCTTAATGAGAGTGATAATAATGCGGGTTAGACAAACTCTCACATGATAACTGGGCACTTGATCTCACTCTTGCCACATAAGACACTACCCAGTTATCAGCTGAATCGGGTAGCGAAGATGACAGACAGCTGAAGATAGTGATTCCGTATACATTAAGGAGTCTGCTGGAGGAATCAAAGTCAGAAGAAAGCCAAATCGAAGGGAGCATTTGTTCAACTCTTGCGATACCTGGTATTATTGGAATAGTTCGCAACATGTTCTGTCGAAGCTTTCCACACTGTCGACCCAGACTGAAAGATTGGAATCGTTTGTAAAAGAATAGCCTTAAATCCCAATTTACTTCTTGTAACGTAAGAATGTCTCACAAAATGGGCCCCAAATCACCTGCGTCAAAACGACGGATTGTGTCAGAATTTTACATTGATCCAACAGCCTCCTACCAAATAACATTGTAATTTCTAATGTGATAAACATTCAACCCAATATAAATGACTGCAAATTTCATATCCCGTACAGTTATAAAATAACAATGTCTGAACATTCTTGTGACTACTACGATATCCATTCAAAATCACCTTAAACAATAGAAACATCATCGGTTTACACAAATGAGACGAAATTGTGTGGATACCTGTTCACTTTAACCCTGCTGAAGCTACTAGCACTGAACGCTCGAAAGTCAGTGAAGTCGACATCATTTTCTTTCTCACTCACAACAAAATTGAGTATTACGCTTTTGAAAATCAAATCTGTAACAAATTCAGAATATTTTGTGAATGGCAATCATAAATAAAGTCGTTATTATTCAAGTGTTGGTTTGTAGGGATTTGACCGGTAGGTTGCAGCGGGTTGGGTGTGAGGACACTTCCGGTATACCTTCAAGTACACAGATTTGAATCCGCTGAATGATCAAAAATTTGTTTGTTTCTCTCTTTCTTTCAAATATTTACAGAAAATCGGTATGGTCCTGCATATCCTGGCTGTAAAGTCCATATGCCTCCTGCAGACATCCGCGGTATCTCCTAATCAGCAGTTATTCTTATTTCATGTTGCATTGAATTCATGCGAATTTTGTATTTCCCAGGTTATTCATGGCGAAAATAGCAACTGTGTAGAATTGACGGATTTATAATTATACGCTCATACATCCCTTTGTATTAAATCAAGTGGATCAATAAGCATATTCACAATACTGTCACTGTGTTGATCTACTTACTGACTTATGGCTGCAGATTAGCATGTGAATGGAAGTCATTGTATATAACCCTCTCGCAGGATTTCTAGCAGTTAAGAAGAACAGAATAGCGAAGTGTGATAAAGTGTCGCATGTGAGCAACATCGAGGAGTCCTCACGATTTCTGAAATTCAGATCTCTGTAACCCAACAACCAGAGATAGGAGGATAGGAAGGAATTCCAATGAAGTTTAAAAGATGCCTAATATATATAATATACTGAAAGATACTTGACTGATGGAATAAACTCTAAGTAATAAAGTCTTTGAATAGAAAAGATATAGAAGCACATTTCTATCTAAGCGATAAACAGACAAATTCAGATGCTATGAAGTTTGTGAATAAAACCTTCTGATCGCATCCTTCAGTGAGTCAAAAGACGACTTGGATGGGTGAACACAAATCGGCTTACCTTATTCGCGATTATCAGGCTGTGTTATATTCGCCTTGCAATTTCATCAACACTTCAAATTTTCTCCTGTGTTTTCAAATCAAACTTCATTCCTTTCAGATATTACAAACCTGAACCTATTGATACCTCAGAAGTATGCTGCAGCGTCATCTCTCCAGATAAAGTCAGGTAGGCTAATTCCCTGTGGAAGTTATATTACTTTATGGTGATTCAGAAACAACGTCTTCACCAGCATATTTGCTTCGAATCCTTGCTTTCATTTAGTTCGTAGAATACGAATGGTTGTTACCCTTGTGACATTCAGCACAATGATAATGGCGTATTCAACGAATAATCTTGTCATTAATTGTTAGTGTGTGAAAAGCCACTGCAGATATTTGAGATTGCGATGCCATATTACCGCTTATCAACGTGATATAGTGTCATTTTGGAGAAACACACAGGATACATGGTTTAATGTATCACACGTGAAAAAATTTCATCGCAGCTTGTCTCTTACTTTCAATTACAGGGCTTAAATCCATATATGAGAAAATCGCCTCCGGATTAAAGGTGAGAAAATAAAGGGAACAATCTGCATGCTTGATTAGAATTGATCGACTATTAATCGTCTATGCTGCCTGATAGAGAACAGAGCCTTTCTCACTTATCTTAATCCACACAAATGTGTATCACTTATTTCTGTGACGAACATTCCAGAATGTCAACAATGCTGAAATTGTGAATCATATTTTCTATCAACAGTCTCATTAAATGATGAAATTCAACAGGAGTGATATGGCTCTGGATAGGGAGAATTTCTCTGGCGAATGACGGAAACAGTGTATTTGCTATGAGTGACTGTGTTGCTCTGAACTGGAAATCCGAAAGCTTTAACAGTTATAGGCATTTCAATACACTCATTGATATGATAAATTAAAGTTTGTACTTTAACCTGGACAGTAGGATGAATCTGACGCTGTGTATTCTGTTCATGGGTTTATCAAGCCTATAAATCAATAAATAGGTATAAACTGAACTATAAGCACTGACGCTCAATGGAGATAATTCATAAGGGCAGGAATACTGATTTCATATTTCATCAGCATAGTATGACTAGACTGATAAGCAGTTAAATTGAACTTTGAAACACTTTCAAAGCGTTGTGAATAATGGATTCTGTGATTGAGTACTGAGTCACTGCGAACACCTCCGGAAATTTGTAATTGCTATAGGTTTCACTGGTGACAATTGTCACCTCTTAGTGTGATCGATATCAGAATGGCATAGCGGTTAACTGATGCATTATATCAGTTTGTAGAAATTTCAATGGACTACTCAGTTTGAATACCTCCTGCCAATGGTCTGACAAATTTCACAACAAGAGCACTACGAGATTGCTGAATATTCTCTGAAGTGTGGCTGAAGTTTCATATGTCATTTGTGAATGTGTCTGAACTACTTTTGACTTCACTACGACTCTCCATTACATTCACAAACATAATTCTTAACTAATCCACTTCCTGTTTGCACACTGCTCTCTCTATCCCTCTTATTCTTTCCGTTTCCTTTGAAAGGCTGAATATGAAGCTTGCTGAAGTATTCGGTAGAGATGATGTCGATGAATGATTATTTAATGTGGTTTCACAGTATCATAACAATATTATTACACAACTTCTAATAACATTTCCATTTTTCTCAATTATAAACTTTCCTAAATACACATCTTGATCCGGTAATAACTTGTTCTCAATAGAGTGATTCCAACGACAATTAAAGATAATGTTTTTAAACTCAAATTGCATGAGACATGGAATCACGTACACGGGATAATAATCGCATGAAGCAGGGTATTATCGCGAGTATCTTAGCTCGTAAAATGACAGCTGAAAGTTGAGTGACACGGTTGATTGATACCAGGCTGCACGAAATCAACATGTACATTTGAGGCAAATCAGGAGAATAAATATAAATCATAGAATTTGTTCAAAAAGGTGTATCAAATGATGTATTTTGTCGTCTAGAAAGGCATGACAAATTGGAGGGCAGAAAAAAAGAAAAAGAGTTGAGATGATATAATAACTGTGAAATGATCATTCAGTATGAATGTCCGGAATGGACAAAACAAGTGGTAGGACGGTTGAGCGTCTCGATAAAATCTGTATGGCAGTGAAGTGTTATCAACAAGCAGTAATCGAGTGATAATAAAATAAGGATAATATGTATAAAAGTATTGAGCTCAGGCAACGAAATGTAGCACAACTCTGGCAAGTAAATTACTCCGGCCATAGTAGGACTAGCAGAGGTATGTAGTGGTTCCAAACATTGAGGCCTGGTTTCAGACCCCGAATAGCTAATGATTCGGCTATGTACCGAGGCCATATTAGCGTCCCTTCTGTGTAAACCCGAGGAACTCTGTGTGGAACTGTACAGACGTCATGCTGTTATGCTTGATGTCCAGATATCGCGAGGTAGGCGAGGGTAGGTTCACTGATATTCTTCTTCTCCCCTCCAGCTAGTCAACCTGGAGGGTGTTCCAGAATATGTTCTTACATCTGGCGTTAAGTGCGGTCAATTCGCTTTACTCCATAGTAACAAGTAGACTAATAGATGCACACTGATGAGTTCAAAAGTGACATATTATCCTTCACACCTGACTGGATTAACTGTCCCCTGGAGACGTTTCTTCTTCTAGCACATAGAATGACGGTTTCTAATATTTACTGCTTTGATATCATTTCTACATTCTAGGTTCATGTAGAGGGTTTTCTTTTGTACAGTTTCGGTTGTTCAATGACGGAGGATTTTCTTTCATAGCTTTGACAGTTAATCCGGCAGGAAGTCAGTTTTCCAGTAGCATGTTACGAGGTGACTCTTGTTCATTCTCAATTGTGGCATTTCGATACATTCTCCAAACTCAGGATCATAGGATACGTACTGATTCTTGCATCTGCATCAATGGAAGAAGCCCTGAAAATCAATAAACTGTCCACTACAAGTTCATTTGCGATGTAATGATCTTTCGATCGAGCGTTCTTGTCTTCTGGTGAATGGTATATTCAGTAATGGAAACAACATGTTCGATTCAGGTTCTAAGGTTAAGGCTATTGCAGGGTGTCCCGCTTTGAAAGTTTTGGATAGATAATCTCGATGCGAACTTCCATCGCAAATCACAAAGTTAGCATATCCCTACCCATTGTAGAAGTGCAGTTGTTTGGTCATATGAGTAGGAGTCATGTTATTTTGACTCAATTATAAAATATAATATTTGTGGTCGTTACAATAAAGGCCAGTTATGCGGCGGACACATTTTTAACGTAGAATAACAGATTTGTAGTTATGGTGTGTCAGAATAAATAGTCATATTTGTGTGACAAACGTGCTAGGCTGAAATCGATTGGAAATATTGTAAAACGGGAGACAATAGTGGTGGTTAATCATAATGGAATTGTAGAGTGTGGGGTAGGAAAATTGACAAATCAGTTCAAGGTTATAAAAGGTGTCAGGTGAGAGGCTAGTACGAAGTGATCTGAGTTAAACAGGAGATAGTAAGACTGGAATTAGAGGTTCATAGTGAGATAACGAATATGTTAAATGAAACAGGTGGAAGCATATATTGAGAAAACAGATAATATCACTAATAATAAGTCTGTATAAATGAAAATTCGATAGTATTGAGGAAATGTTTGCATAAAGGGCATAAATTATGACGAATAATAATAAAAATAATTGTAATGATAATATTTGTAATAATAAGCAAAGGAAAAAAACCAGGAGGGTTAAGAGGAAGGAGCACTCTTGGTGAGAAGAAAAATCTTCAATCCAAGGTTGGCCATGGTAGGAACAGCGTCTGGACGTGTTCTTTTTGCGTACAAAGTTCCGGTTTAGTCGATCTTATCGCAACAGCTTCAGTTATATGAAGGAGACGTAAGCAAACTGTACGTGATAACGACTTCGGAATTCGGTAACGACCAAAAATATTATATTTTATAATTGTAAGAAGCTGAAGAGAAATTATTGAAAAGAATATTCTTCGTTAAGATTGACTTTTAATTCATAATACGGGAATATTTCACACTGTCAAATCTTATATCAACAAAGAACGCAACTCGGATAAAAATAAACTTAATGAATTAATTTTTGGTGGATGTATCTAACGGAAAGCCGACTGAATTAGTGATTGTAGGATCTTATTTCACAGACACTGTTATTCTTGTCCTATTCTAAGTGGGAATATGTGTATGAGGTCAGCTGAACTTATTTGGAAAATGTGTACAACAATTATATTCAGTCTCAAATTTTTCAACCTTATCTTTTCAATGAACCTGTGAAGAGTGTGGGTGATGCAACGATACTGTTCGTGCTTTAGTGATGATCAATGTAGTTCAATTGTCATGAATTGGAACAAAACAAGAACTACAGTGGTTTTGGCAGAATAAAATGGTACCATCTTTTATTTCGTTGCCTTCTCGTCAGCTGCTTACATGGCAAAGACATTATTAAATATATCTACAACAACAATTTTAACATACTTGCACAGAGTTAAGTTTAAGCAAAAATCAATCGATCAATATACTCATACACTAAAATATATACATATATAAATATGCAATATTAACCACTACTCCGAACAATAATAATCAAACACAATGGAAACTTTTAGCATTTCAGATTCGGAAGAAAGAGAGGTGAAATTATCCAGTTACCAGAGCAAAGAAAGACTGATAACCGCTTCTTTCTGGACTCATAAATCAGGTTTCAGGCGCTTGATGGAAATGGCTTCAGCAAACTTAAGGAGAATTGAGTTCTTTTGCCTATTGATAATTTTGAAAGATTTTCGACGTCCACCTCATGACCCGTGTCAAGAAGATGCCTGGCGATGGCATTGTTTAAAGCATTTGTTCCCTTTAGACGTAAGCTTTTTGGTACATGTTCAGAAAATCGTAGATATGCCCTACTTTCTGTCCTTCCAATGTAACATGAGAAGTATATCTATCGATTTTTGATTGCACCAAAGAGCAAGTTGTTCGACAGACGGGAACAAGCTTAGCTGCAGGATAGGCTACGGCTAGTGATGTACTCAGCCTTCTGTTGATCATCGCTGCAATAATTTTACCCTTATAATCAAGCTGAACATAGACTGGATTTTTTCCCACTGTGATTTGTTTTGCATTTGTGACTTCAGATCTTCCATACTTGTTGATGAACCTTTGAGGATACCCATTTCTCTTCAATATATTTTCAAGAAAATCAAACTCCTCCTCTAGTTTCTCTATAGAGCATATTCTCCTCACTCTATAGTACAAAGTCTTGACTAGACCACGTTTAAAGTTATTAGGACAAAAGCTATTAAAATGCAAGTATTGTCCTTTCCATGTGGGCTTTCGATAAATTGAAGACTGCCGTCTTCTAGGCGTTCCATGGCGATGTCTAGGAAGTGAAACTTTCCGTCGCTTTCATGTCCCATAGTGAACTCAATATTGGCGTGTACACCATTGAATAATCTTAGTAAGTGTGAAGCATGACTTTTATTTTTGCACACTATAAATGTGTCATCAACATAACGACAGTAGGAAGATGTTTCGTCGATTGCATGCTATCTCAGATACACTTGTCATCGCAAGTCTTTTTACCTTGATTCCGTTCGTCAGTACTTGCACGTTAAGCAGAGTATAGCTAAGGTCATAAAGCGGTGAAGAAGTTTTGTAAGAACGTTTAGAATTGAGGTCTACCCTTAGCCGGAATAACTCTTACAAGTGGTGAGCCCGACGTGATGGTACCATTTTATTCTGCTAAAACTGTAGTTCTTGCTTTGTTCAAATTCATTAGGGGGAATAAATGTATGAAATGTCATGAATTAGTTAGTTAGTCGCAAAGTTAGCTAGTCAAAAACTGTGTAAGTGAGTTAGTTGGTTACTTGTTCAATTCATCATTTTGTCATCTACATAATGCTAATATCGCATTGAATGGCATTTTCTATACTCATTTTAACATACATCAAACTCAATGACTCTGTAATTGTTCACGCTAATCCACATGGAAACATTCAGCTCAACAATAATACAAATTCCAATACCCACATCAAGTCAGTTCTCTTCACTGAAGTATTCGTTTCATCTTGGTGGAAATTACTTCAGAACTTTGAAATCACTATAACACTCCCAACACATTACAAGATTCCAGCCCCCAGTGGAATCCAAATGAGAAACAATGAGTAAGGCGTCAGTGAAAGCGTTACGTTTATGCGAGCGTGTCAGTAGAAGGTACGAACATATTAGCCACCATCCAGCCAGGTGAAGAGAATTCAAGAGAACAGAATGATATGGAAGTGGATTTTGTTGACAGCCTATGTTCCACTCAGAACCTAAAGGAATAGCAATCACAATCTAATAATTGAAATAAAAGAGCGGTGAGAGATAAGGAAATCAAATTCATTAATCAGCGTGCAGTTATAGTAAATTTCACTTCACAGTGAGAATGTCACATTTGAAATTCAGGACAGATATTCCATTATGACTTACTGATAAAACAAGGGAAAAGAAAAGGCAATGAAAAAAATGTTAGTCCCTCAATGGTCAATGTAAAAATATGCAATGAA